TTTTAATTGAAAATGGGCGTGGCGTCGCATAAGATCGCAATTGAAGAAAATGTAATAAAACTAAGTGAGTCTATGTTACTTCCTCAACTGCGCACATTTGTATATAGCCAGAATATATGTAATTAGTTACACTATGAATGTATGTTATAAAAAAAGAAAGTGTTCAAATATGTAAACATAATATTTTTGGGACGAGTAGACGTTATTTTTGGAGTGTCATGCGCATACAGACACAACGTGTTCAGACTTGATAATCATATTTGCTAAGTGGAATATTTCTGTCATCCTAACTTCTGAACTGTCAAACATTAACAGAAAACCATACCGGCTATCTTTGCCCCCCTCAATAGTTTCATGTTAACATCTTCCAAACCAAACTAGTTGAAAGGAAATTTTTAGCACCGCTTTGAAAATGGGTAAAATTATAATATAACCATTTCAACTGACCATATAAAGGTTTTGTTGAACACTACTAAAAGTGCGGTAACTCACTTAATAAATGCGCTTCCAACTTTAAATTTCACAACCAAGATGGTAGTAAAAGGTTTTATAATGCTGCAAGAATTTCAACAGAATTTGGTGTGTGAAGTTACCCATCGTAGAGTGTGAAAATTTGCGAAACCGAATGGCAACCACACCTGCTTTCCTTTTAATGAACTTTTATATTTTGTCTTAATTTTTCACTCTATGGTATACAAATCAAACATAAATGAAGCAATCAGATTAAAACTTTGCGCAAATACTATCATCAAGTGGATTAATCTTATGACTATAAATAGAAATAATATTAATGTATAAATCGGACTTTAATATTTCAAGGAACCAGGCACAAAATATGTGAACACTAGTGCATATGGAAAATTTTTTAGCGTACATATCGGTCAATCTCTGAGTTCTACTTTTGAATTCAATTGGACTCTCAAAACCCTCGAAATTTTAATTTTAAAATGACCGTAATTTTTTAACACACCTTCCTATTTAAAATTAGCATATTATATTTTTAAAGCAATATTTCAAACTGTTCTTGAGCTGCAACTTTTTTAAGTTTTCAAATGTATTTCACTTATTTTTTATTGGGTTTATTCTAACTAAATAAGGTACTTACATTATAATAAAAAGAAGTAAACTCGAGTGTGGGAAAAAATTTCTGCATAAATCATGTTTGGTCTTACATGGTTTAAGCTGTTAGGAAACGTCAGATTTCTATATTAAAAATATTATTCCTTAGGTGCAGAACAGCTTGTTAGCCATAAAATTATCGAATGCTATTTATTGGGTTTAGATGATTAATTTGTCATATTTGAGTTTTTGGTAAAAATTGAAAAAGTTTGCACTTGTAGATTCAATTAATGTTGTCATAGTAGTAATCATGCTATGTCGGTCCAACCACTCTTGGGCAACACAGTTTTCTGTTAATAGTACTATACCATAATGGCATTACCATATCCATAACTACAGCTTTCATTTTGGAATTTTGGTTTACCGCCACAGTTATAAAAAGTTGATAGCATTGAAGTAATACTAAAATGGAATATACCATACTCAGCTCAATTACCCAGCTTTGCAACTTTTTTTCGTGGTCCGGTGTTGGCAAAATTCGAGGTTTTCAAATGACCAGATAACGAATTTATTCATGAAATTTTTGAATGCGCTACTTTTTTTATGAAGATTATAAGCAATACCATTTTCTCAATTATCGGCTTGCTGGCAATAAAATTTATTTTGCGGTCATGGTTTGGGTTCCTTTTTCACACCTACAAAGGGTTCAGTGAAATATGATGTAGAAGGTTTTAATAAAAATCAAACGTAGAGATATCTAGACTTAAGAGATCGTGTCAGTGTGCAATTTTCGAGAAATCGATTTTTTTGTTGCATACTCATTCTCTCAAATTTTGAAATCAAAATTCAAATTATTACGGTCGCTACAGCGTTACTGGTAGAAAGAGAATAGAGTGGAGAACATAGCGACTCCAATCTTTAAACGCGTTTTCTCAGAATGGTGTTTAAAAAAAAAAAAATCATTTTGTACACTGAGACGAACCCTTAAAGTCTATACGATTCCTTTTTAAAAGTTTAAAACGTAATTCGCATGCTCTCAGAAACAGAAGCCCAGAAATTGGTACACTCTATCAGTGCCAGTGAATGGGATTTGTCAAAGCACTGGACGCGTAAGTTCAATATCACTAATTACATTTGTAGAAAATTGGCGAAACTTCCTAGGACATGTAGTAAGGCTGAATATTCAATGGTTCATGAATATATACTATTAATATAATATAATTAATGAAAGATACAGATCTTAACAAAGTTATAATGGTTTTGGAAAGCGCTGTCTCTTATACACATCTAGATGTGTATAAGAGACAGGGTACATACTATATAAATGCTCCCTTAGAATTGATTATGACTTTTGATCTGTATATTAAATAAGCAGTAAGAAAAATTTATTAAAAATATCTTTGCGTAGATTGAGTTATTTCTCAATAAAATATTAAGCTAAAAAACTAATAATACAATTATTCATGAGAAAAATTCAACATATAGTGTTAAAAATAATTAAGTTAAAAATATTATATTTTTTCTAACTAAATTAYATTTGAGTAATATTTTACTTTTTAATTTTCAGCAATCGCAACTCCTTCTTAAGACTAACATAGTCTTATGGTAGTCAGAGTAGTAGAGGTGGTTATGTCAATCCTGCTTATTTATGCTCTTCGGAGTGAGCTGTTGCAAAGCAAGTTGATACCTCGTCTGATAGGTACAATAAAACTATTTTTAACAATGGTATTAGAAACAACCAATCAGGAAAAAACTACTAATCTGTGCAACATATTGAGAGTATATCCAAATAAATATTCGCTCAAAATACATACAATATGAGACCTAACATAAGCTTTCTCAGTTAAAGSAGATATTAGAATAGCTGCAGTATTTTACACATCTAATACATACTTCGTTTAGATAACTAAGTATAAACATACCTGAGTATATATATGTATGTGCCTTAGTGATGGTTTACACACAAATACTTTTGTTGTCCAAACTCGGTAGTTTGCTTGGAATATAAAGACACTTCCACAATATGTAAATATAAATAATTGTTAATGTTAAAAATTCCCAAAATTCCTGGGTGGGATGCCAGCTTTCACACTTAATAAAATTGGTTCATGCAAAAACACCCATGTTTTTGTGAATTTTATGCAACGAAACAGGGAAAATTTCTTTTTTAAAACGAATTATTTGTTAAAGCACCACATTCATAGGATATTGTATAAAATTTTCACGAAATACTTAAAAATTGTCTTGAAAAAATTGTGCAACAAGTTGCTCTCAAATATTACTTTTGCATGAGATCAAACCTACAAACGTTGACTATATGAAACCATCTGCTTTCTTTGCTAAGATAGCGCCTTTTTGAAACCTATAATTGGAGAACCAACCATTGGATGAAAAATTATGAAATTTTGACAGTAGCTAATATTAGTATTCTAAGATAAATTTGTTGTTTGTGGAACGGTCCAAAACCAAGGACATTTCAAAACATGTACATACATATGTATATAATAATCAATTTTGCATAAATACACATACATACATGACGCATATACATATGTACATACGTAAAATTTTAATAATTTTTTATTTGAATGTATRCATATMCATACATACATATGTATGTATAAAAACCACATTGAAAATTTATGGTAGTTTTGCAGGCATTACCACACTCTTTAATTTAATTATTCTTGGTTGATGATTTTTGTATTACTCTTGGTTTGTATCCGTTTTACTTTAATTCGTAAATACAAAACATTTGTAGTTGTGCGATGAAAGCATAATCTAAGCTGTACTAAGTATGCAGCTCASGCGCACATTTATAAACATATACATATAAACAGTGTGCTCGAGCAATTCACACCCACAGACAAAATCCGATATAAAGAAGAGTGGGTAAAGGAAGAGAAGAAAAAATACTTGAGCATTTTTTAAATATGTGGTGTTGTATATAAAATAGATTTATGTATTTGGAAATACATATAGAATTCATAGTTCATAAAACAAATTATCTATTTGTACCTAATAGTTGGTTATATGTACATAGTCATGMCGAAATTTCATTACTATTGAATATTATAATGCGCGTGGATATTAAATTACTCTTAATAATTACTAATAATAATTGAGCTTTCAAAAAATGTACTTCTTTAYGTTATTTATGGTTTACTGTGTTCATTGCAGTAACACTTTACAATTAAATTCTGACCACTTAAATCCTTATTTTCAGGTATACGATGYTTATAGTATTTTTTCCGCTACAACAATAATAACAAAGTGGATACATATGAACGGTTCCATTCATATTCAAGTTCAATCATAACCATAATGCAGTGCATAATCTAAATAAGCATTGTAGGAGGATTTACTGTTCCATTAATTGTTGTCAATGACTATACAATATTACATGTACATATATACATGTGTATGTACATACATGTAAATAACTTGGGCGTTTTCTGCCATATGGGAATTTGTCAGTAATATTAATATCACAACAGTTTGTATTCAACAGCACTAAACTTTTATATTATTATCGTATACAATATTACATCTTAAAACAACATCAGTAAACTAAATACGGCATCAATAAGACGACGCTGACGTCCCACGCTGCCAGATCACATACACACATATCTGTGTATGTATGTATGTAAGTTTAGTGGTTGTCACACTTTTTTCATTTCAGTGGTATTTAATCAAATTGCATTCACAAATATTAAGGTAAACAATTAATAATGATTTTCTCGTTTATTTCCACTTGCACTGTTCATTTAAAGGTTACCCCAACTGACATGGTTACATAGACATTTTTGTAAGCTGTGGTCATACATACATACTTCTCATCTATAGTATGAAGTATACTTTTTTGCAACTTTAAACCGATATTTTGTCTTCGATAAATTGAGGGAGGCAAAGGCGCGTCAAGATTCCATATTTAGTGGACACGTCGTATGTACTGCACAAACGAATTCAAAAACTCATACGCATACACAGACCCACACCCAAATGAAAATATTTTATTTTTATTTTTTGTAAAATTGTGTATTTACTTAAGTTCTTCTATATTATCCGCTGACTGTCGAGATTCATGTCCGCACGAAATCACTCTCGTGTATAAACTGTTTATGGTTCCAACACGCTTGCAAGTATTCAGCGCCGTGTTTGATTTTGTGGACATGCTCCAAAGAATGAATGAGTTCCTATATACTAATATACGTATTTACATCGCAAGAGCTTTTTTATTCATTAATGTCTCTTATTATATAATAAAGCTCTAAATTTAAGCTTTTAAGTTCGTGTTTTTAAGGTTGTGGTCTTCTCTAACAAAGGAAAACGAAACAAAACTTTTTATTAAAATAAAGAAATATTGAATTTTCATAAGTTTTTGTAATAACAAGGTTCTGGGTCTTGTTTCTATCTATTAATACTGATATTATCTGTATATTGAATCCTAGTTTGAAAACATATACATTTACATACCACTTTTTACTCTTGCAACTTGTTGCTACAGAGTCTAAATAGTATTATTCACCTAACGACCTTTCTCGTTTCCTCACTGCACGGAACCTCCAACTTTCCCCTACCAAATCCACAGCGACCATATTCACGAACTGGACGAAGGAGTATAGACTGGAACTTAATATTGCAGTCGACGGCGTCAAAATTCCGACTGTCAATAACCCTARGATTTTAGGTGTCACCTTCGACAGTCTATGCTCCTTCTCTCCACATACGACCGCGATTATCGCCAAAGTACAGAGCCGCAACAAAATCCTCAAGTCGCTAGCCGGAAGCACATGGGGAAAAGACAAAGAAACGTTGTTGGCAACTATGTGAGTATATCACCTATAGTAAAATTAATTGTTATCTATTTAATTGTTATCTATTCACGATTTCCTCGACTAATGAATGTTGAATTCTTCCCCAACGTTTTTTAAGGTAAAGTTTTCCCAACACCTATAATAGGGTATTTCCAAAATGCTTAACTGATATATAGTACGTACATATGTAAGTACATACATATATTAATGGACAATACCTAGTGGTTTACACATAATGGGGGATCGGCGCAGGTAGATTGTCCAATGTCGAAAGAGAAGGGATCAAAATTGCCTTAACAACTATAATTGGTTGAAGAATGTACACTCAAAACAGCAGTGCAACTATATTACATACATGTTTACTGATAATCTCATTATTTTCCGAAAAGGTTTAGTGTTGACCAGTTTGCAATACTGCTGTCGCGATTGCCATCTCGAACGTACCAAAGCTCTCTCCAAAAGGCCAGTGTATGTACAATCATCCATCATCAAGGATCCACATCTATATCAAAATAACTTGATGCCGTATCATTTCGATTTCGTACTTCTTCAACTAATTTTATTGCTAATAGCCACTCAGGGAAAAAATTATTTTTACAAATCAATGCAGATCATGCACTTAGCCCGTCAACGCGCATGACCATGATGCTATTTGTGTATTCTTGCTTTTAGTTTTTCATAATTAAGAGATCCATACTGCGTTATATTTGATTTTTTAGTAATCGAAAGTACTAATTAATCGAGTTATCATCAGTATTATGAAACTCCATTGCTGTCGTTGCCGGTTCAAGCTCAAAGACGCGACACACAATAAAAACACATCGTTTTAAACTCTTTTTAACACTTTTATGCATCACGTATTCGACATAAACAGGATGTTGTCAGAAAATATAACTGTTTAATAAGAGACCTACTAAAAGCCACATATTTTTCCCAATATTTGTGGCTCATATTTAACATAACGTTATTTAAATCAGTTTATGTTTTACATTTGTTTGTATGTACGTTCTACTAAAATATAAATGTAAAAAAATAAACTTTCAAAAAATGCAAAAAAATACTACTTTTTGAAAATCAACTATTGAAAGAAATATGCAATTTAGAACGATAATATGTGTATTTCTTGCCCTAAGTTGTCGGAATTTATAAAGCCACACCAGGGCAACAAATACAGTTTGAACGTAATTACTCTTCAAACATGAGCATATGCTCTTGTGGCTACTGAGGTTTTTATGARTTGTTTAGTATTATTTCAATGAAATAACTTAAAACTATAATATAATTTAAAATCTCTATTTTATACACATCAATTAATATCAACTGCATTTAAAAAAATTTTAAATTTGTTAATATGAATTAGCCATATATGTAGAATAGTCTAGAATTTAAAATGTTTTTACTTAATTCCCAATTCCTTTAATTCTTTTTCATCATCTACGGAATCTTCATCGTCTGAGCCATGCACTGATGGAGCAGGGGTTGTGTGTCCTTTAAAAACAAAAAAATAAAAAAATTTTTTTTGGTAATATATAATCGAATTACTGGAGGATGTAGGGCTTGGTGGTTCACTGAAGGGCCTAGAAAAGTTCAATGTACTCCGTGAACTGTAGAGAGATCCATCATCAACATAATCAGGGTAAACTGCTTGTAGTGCCTTAACTCTAGCTTGGCGGTAATACTTAAAAAAAATAACAGTTGTTTTATAGCATCAGTTTACTTAAATACGCGCATTACTTACAATTCCTAAGGTTCTCCAATCTAAAAGATCGCTGAGACGTTCTGTACGATTTCTTTGAATTATACGTTGTCGTCTATTTAATCTTGCAAACTCCATCATAAATCCGGAAAGTTGTTGAACACTGTTTTCTAAACCAATGTATCGRCGGTCAACAATATATATACCATAAGACTTTGGGTCGCAAATATGCTCATTCATAAAACAACCAAAACCAGACAAATTTGTAGTTATGCTTGGTATCCCCATAACTGTGCACTCCGCTGGAGTGTATCCCCAAGGTTCATAGTACGATGGAAATACTCCTAAATGGCAGCCACGTACAAATTCTTCATAATCAATACCAAAAAGCGGATTTGTAGACGTTAAAAACTCTGGATGGAACACCATTTTCACTCTATCATGCACCGAGTTGAATAAATTGCAGCGACGAATAGAACCCAAAACAGGGTCATTCCAGTCATCAATCTAAGTAACAAAGAGTAAAATGTATGTGTAATAAATACCATTTATGATGTCTTTGGGATATATCTATGTATCTTACTATATTGTGTGTAGTAACTGGAGGCATTGAATCTCTCTGCATAGCAAACATGCAGCGCTTAATTTTAACCAAATCATCTTTTGTAAGAAGTTCATCTGAGCTTGGTATATGTCCTTTTACGCAAGAATCAAACATACGTTTCCCAATAGAATTTTGTACGTTGTTAATTGTGTCGCGCAATTGTTTAATAACAGCGTGTCCCCGTAGGGAGTCTACATTAAAATTATTTACTTTGGTGGGAAATATAAGGAACGCGACAACTGTTGTATCAGGCTTTTCATGTTTTAACATTGCATTGAGTCGAGCCAACGATTCTATAAATATATCAGCACCTTTATTTCCAAATTCATATCGTCCGGCAATAAAAAAATAAAGCGTCTTATCTAAATCGAAATCCATATGTCTATAAATTTAGAAATTATTAAAATTTCTGTTTTCACATAAGCAATTGACAATAGAACTTACCCATAAAAATGTCCTCGAACGAATTCATTGATTTTTTCTTTAGCAACTGCATGCAAGTTTTGGAATTCGTGTATGGCGGAAAATTTTTTAACATTGAGACCATTTGGCGTTATGATATCAGGTTTTCGCTTGAGTAAATGTTCTGCTTCATATCCGGTTATTTCAGATACTGTTGTGAACACATGAGATAAATGAGTGGCAGCTCTTTCAATACAATATCGGTGGTAAATTTGTCGTTTTCCCGCTTCTTCATCTACAGCAAACTTGTCTAAATTATTATAGAAATCTGTATTACCAGCACACAGATAACGGCCCAAGAGTGTAGCATGCGTTGTGAAAACTGTAGCAATTTCTACATGTCGTGTCCGTAGCGCAATCAAGCCTACCCCTGCTTGCCATTCGTGAAAATGAGCGACTATTCTAGGGGTTTGCAGTTCATGGTTACTAGAATAATCTAAAGCACGATTTCGAAACTAAAATTATAGTAATCAAACCTTTGATTATTTACTTTATACGTATACTTATTTACCGCTGCCTTAGAAATAATATCCTAATCTCACATTCATTTGGAAACCAAATTAATCTGGTTCAGCTTATAACTGAATTAATTAAATAAGCAAAATGGTTTAGATAAATATCAATATAGGAAGATATACGTATTTTCAACTACTTGAAACCTTAAGGGGCTGTACCGGTGTGACACTTTCAAAAAAAAAAAAAAAAATTATTTTTTAATTAAGAAGTCAAAAGTTTTCGCTTTCTGCCCATTCGCTCATATACATATATGCTAGACGCTCCGTCACTATTTTCCTTCTAGCCTCGAAAATATTTCAAATTCTCCTCTAAAACATTGAGGACATATTCTTAGATTATTTTTAAAGAGATTTAAGCAAAAAACAAAAATTATGATACCTAAAAAAACGATTTTTTTTTAAATACGTCATTTTGTTAATTTCTGATGTTTTTCAAAGATCGTAGGTCATTGTATATAAAATATCTTAAAGTTTAATAAAATTTTCAAATCTTTTTGTTTCAGCAACTCATTCAGCCGCAATCATGCCAGCAGTTGGGGCAGTTTTTTGGCATCTCCGAAGACAGTTCATAACTCCGTTGTTTTTCAACATTTTTGTAAAAAAAAATCTTAAAAAATAGCTAAAAAATATACCTTATTACGTTCAAAGAAGTTCGAAATATTCAATAGCGTATTTTCTCTTAAAAAAATTAACGAATRTCGCCTAATTTTTCATGCGTCACACTGGTATAGCCCCTTAATATACACATGTGAGGTTGGAATCTCGCAATACTAAGGTAACAAATAATTATGTATTTACAAACCTCCTCAAGAAATTCAGCAATCATAAAGCCTAATATAATGGCATCGTTGGTTTCAACATCTAAATGTGGTACTCCTAAGATTTATTATACATGTTATAAAAACGACAAATATACATATGTATATATGAACTATATAAACCTATATAAATATCTTACCAACATGGCATTTTTCCCATAACTCTGATTTGAATTGATCCAATTTCCATGCACCTGAGCCGATATCAAACAGTATGAGTTGAGGGTTACCATCGACTAACCAACGTCCTGTATGTATTTTATAACCGCGCGTTCTCATTGTATTCACCGCATCTAGAAGTGGATTACCCCGTGGAAATTCTATCTCCTCCATTTCTGTGCGTGCACAATGCTCTTTATAAGGGCCCATGAGACACAGCTGCTCACCCATCTCTTCTGTTGAAACATATGCTTTAGAACGAATGACTGTGTAGATGCCTCCAACCTTGTTAGCCACCTCCCATGCTATTTCAAAATTCCATCGATTTTCTCGAGAAGCAATGTCACCGCGATCAAAGAAATCTTTTAAGTCACCACCGGACTCTACTCGAGAAAATCGCCGATTCATCTGTAATGAATACAAAATTATTTAATAATATAAATATTTTGAGAACTCTCTAAACTTTCCTGGTCTTCCATTCGAAAGGAAAGTTGTCTTCGCAACATTTTGCTCCGATCTACAATACTACTGGCTACAGAATGTATTGGGCTTTAAATTGAAAATCGTCGCGAACTATTATAATGCCAATCGACGTATACGAGTTTCTTATCTCCCAATAAGATGTGTTTGTTTTAAATAATGAATTGTAATCAACATAAATTATGTAATACCTTTTCCTATATACAAATGTACATGTATACAGATATTAAATACAATTGCGCTGACGAAAACGTCTAAACCCCTAATAAATGTTGCGGAATTTCTTCATTTCTTTGTGAAAATTTAGCATTCAATATTTAGATTATTTCTTCCAAATTTATCATATTAAATATCCTTTTGTTAGTTATTGTTTCTTGATTTGTACCAAAAGACTTTGTGCATACTTTACCAAGTAATTCGCAGTGTGCTTCTTAATGTTGTTAGTCCAATTGTAGTATGTTAGAAGCAGTTTCTGGATTGATACGCATGTTCAAATATATATGATATATGTATATTCATTAAATTGAAATACTAATACAATATATAATAGTGGAAAATGCAGCGATTGAAAGAGTTGAATAAAAGTGATGACGTTCCTTCTGTATAAAAATTACAATAACACTTTAATGCTGTGCTAGGTGCACAGGTCACTATGTTATCGATGGAATTTAAATTATAGATAACACGTGTGACTACAGCTACTTAATAAGAGAAGAGCTCATGTGTGGATTAACTAATGATCAATAAATTTGATTCGCACAAACACTTTTCCTCACTTAAGCATTTTAAACATATACCCAACTACATATAAAAATAACATTATAAACAACTATCAAATACAGTTGAAATGTGATTTACGAATAAAGTCAAAAAAGAATCCATGGGATTCTACTTAAGTTTAATTGAAAATTATTCTTACAGATTTGTTAAACGGAAAATAATGAGTTTTCCTTTTGATATTTTACTGAATATTATAATTATTTTTAGTTTTTTCTGTCTTATCTTTTAAGTTTGATCAAATTGAACATAGTGTGCTAAATTTTAATAAATCGGTTCAATAGCTTAGAGATTATCCCGGAGAAAAAGTGACACGTAATTTTTATACCTGTACGCATATAAGTATATACAGCGACATTCCCCAATGCGAACTGTTCTAATAACCGGACAGCTCCCGTAACCTGAACAAATTTCATGAGCACAACGCTTTAATTCATATTTTCATACACTAAGTTGATAGTATTTCGTTCAAATTATATCTGATAAACGGACAAGATATCATTTTTCAAGAAATTGTGTAGAATTTATAGTTCCAGCTTTTTTAAACTGTCTGGCTCGCGGTGAATGAGTTTCCCTTTAATTTTCATACAGTCATTCACTGATTGATGACATGGGCTTACATCTACAAGTTTAGTAGTTGAAGCTTCTAAATCTAAGAAAAAGAAATTTTTAAACACACGCTTTTGCCACTCCTCTATATGTGAACAGCTCCCACAGCCGGATAAAACATTGCGGCTTTAGAATACCGTTCCAGAATTTCGGGAATAAAATGCGTATAGTCGGATAGAGCAGTTTCTCCAGATCAAGAATATATAGAACTACAGCAACAAACAAATAGTTTTCGAGATATTTGCGTTTAAAGTTGAATATTGCCACCATTTCAATTGCGTATTTTTTCGGGGAATACTTATATTACATTAATTTAGAGGAATTTACAAAAGGATTTTTTCASGAGAAAAAATTAAAACCAACACCGGGATGGACCGACCAAGATTATTTTTTTGAAGCGCGGTCGAAGTCCTAAAACTCAAAAAGGAGTTTTACACGAAAAACGCCCATTGGTGGGTAATAAAAAATCCAGCACAAATACTTTCTTTGGCTATAATTTATTATTTTTATTTCTTTTAGGTCATTTACAAAAGATGTCRAGAACAATAAGTTTACTATTGATGTAAAACTATTTTTGTACTATACTATATAATGTAAAAAAAAATGTGTGCAAACGAACTAGTGAAGTGTTAGTGAACATAAAATTGAAAAATATAAGTGTAAAATTAATTTTAAATTGAAAAAATACGTAGCTAAAACTATTGGTTTCCTGCCGCTTTAACTATATATGTATATTCTTGATCTGGAGAACCTCCTCTATCCGACTATGCCCATTTTATTCCCGAAATCCTGGGTATATGGTATACTAAAGCTTTCCTCTTAAATGTTTTATTTCATTGATTCTGGTATGGCTGATCATTTAAATGGCAAAATTACGATTCTTCTAGCATCGCGATTTGATGGTAGAGATGGAGAGACCTTAGGATTAAAGACTGTTTATACCCGCCTTTGACTTATAACTTTCGAGATGTTTGTATTTAAAGTTCAAAAATTTGTAAAAGTATTACATGCTATTTTACTATGTTTAACTTAAATCCCACACATTTTCAATTACACATTGAAATATATCTAAAATAAATATACTTTCAAACCAATTTTCAAAATATTTGTGCGTTTATATTTATGAAAAATACTAGTGGGAAAAAAAATCAAATTATCCTTATTGTTATTATACGCAAAATATATAGGTTGTCAAAAAAAGTGTTGCGGTATTTTCGCTAGTTTGCGCTGAGAGCGCGTAGTTCTTGTTTTATTCGTCGCATCGGGTCATGCTATACCTTTCGGAAAGCTCATTTCACGCGCTAACACGTGTTTGATTGATTGCCGTTTTTTTTAAGTCGTTCGTGAGTTATAGCGTCGCAAACATGGAGCAAAATAAAATGCGGTATATTTTACAGTACTACTACGATAGAGGCAAAAATGCATCTCAAGCCCCCAATAAAATTTGTGCAGTTTATGGACCCGATACAGTTTACATTTCCACCGCACAACGATGGTTTCAACGTTTTCGTTCTGGTGTAGAGGTGGTCGAAGATGCGCCACKCTCCGGAAGACCTGTCATCGAAAATTGCTATAAAATCGCTGAATTGGTCGAAAGAGACCGGCATAGTAGCAACCGTAGCATCGGTCAAGAGCTGGGCATGAGTCATCAAAAAAAAATTTTATGAACAATTGAAAATTCAATAAAAAATACCCAAAAAATTCCGCAAGACTTTTTTGACAACCATAATATACTTATATCACATATCTATTTATTAAATAACATATAATATATAATCTATACAAATGAATCAAAATTCCTTTTAATCCCATGTCCCTTTATATATTATTAATACACTCAACAATATGTGGCAACATTTGTATTTCGTCATGAATGTAAACATTCAAACGGTGAGTGTGAGTTTAGCATATACAATTGCTGTCCTTTAAATGCAAATATTTCAAAAACTTTAAGGCTGAGGCGGGTATATGTGTATAACGTGTTTAACCCTGAGTACCTCCTCTATGACATCAGATTGCGGCGCAAAAATAATCGTAATCACGCCAAGATATGGTAATAATATACAAATCTATATACAAATGGAAAAACATGAAAACTAGTTTTGGAGATATTTTTATTTAAAAATATAAAAATAATAAAACCCACCAAAGAATGTATAAAACAAAAAATTATGTTACAAATGGAGTAACATAAAACTAGTTTTGGAGATATTTGTATTAAAAAATAATAATAATACCCCTCAAACAATTTATGAAACGCAAATAATAAAACTTTTTTCGGAAATGTCGGAAAGAAATGAAGATGGTTGGTTCCTGCACTGAATATTAAATCTTTTGTTTCGTTTCGACTATATTGTTAGATTCGATTTTTTAGTCTTTTGTATATTAGATCAAAATATAGTAAAAAAAAAAAAACTTGAAAAAATTTCAGTTGTCTTAAAATTACCTTAATAAATGTAACATAGCAAGTGAACGAATACAATCTTTAATTAGGTTGCACGATGTATATTTTTTCTTATGCACTTTTGATAGCAAAGCTTCATACTTATTTTAATTAAAATTTCTCAAGTTTTACTCGGAATATAGAAAAATTTGCATTTGTTACAAAATAATATTTCACAATCAAAAAATATATCACATGTACAAATGAAAATGCATACATATGCATTTAGTGTACAAATGTATAAACCACACCGTGCATTATAACACTTTCATATTATATGAGCTATTCTAATTAGGAATATATGTACACAATTCTATTCTTTTATATCACTTCCTAATATTATGGTTAATATATTTCCAAAATAATATCTTACCTTGCAGATAGTTGGAAGTCGACTGCGTCCAACTTTCCGTATGCACCTCTATGAATTTATGGTCGGTCGAAAACGGCTGACAAACTAGCTTTTCTGCAAAATTTTCTGCTACCGCTCTTATTTATAAATGTCAAATAAAGGTCAATAACAAGAGCTTGCTTCACTCAAAATTCACCGGCCTGGACGTGCTGTCAAACTTTCTTAACTTAAGAATGGTTTACAATTGCACCCTTTAAGAAAGATTTCTCATTAGTATGGGTATTTTTGAGGGACTAATGTAAAAACTTTTTCCTTTAGTATATTTAAATCACGATTTACAACCTCAACTACTTTTTATCAAAAAACGCCAAATTGTCCGCAGGAACAAACTAAGCGAACTCAATTTGCTGGGGTGCCCTGAATATTTGTTGCTGTATTTCTTATTAAAATTATCTGCAAAGAGCTGTAGATAATTACGATATCTCTATAACAAAGCGAAGGCTGCAGCGTTGCCACAGCCAATTGTAATTCTTAATTTATTATAATCAAAGCAATGCACTGCAAAATTGCTTTGAACTTACAATTGGGTAAACGTTAAATCTAATGCATTTTCTTTTTAGAGATTTTATATAAGAAAAACAAAAGCATGATGACATATGACCAAACTTCGAAAGAAAACTAAATTTAATAATTATCAGAAAACTTATATTTTGTTTTTTTATAGGTTCCACTGTCTGAACAAACGAGCGTACCCTCTTATGTTCGAAAACAGCGTTCACACAAAGCCTCCATTGTCGCTATCGTAAACATGTAAAATTTTCAATTTATGAAGGAATGTCAAATTAGGTAGCAGCGAACTGTTACAAACAAGACAAAAAGTTTGCAACCGAGCACAAATAATACGGTCCCTTCGTCTTCCCTCGTCGTTCCTTTGCCAACACAATATAAAATAATAAAAAACTTATGTGAACACTGCTTTAGGGAATTTCGAAAAGCGCAAATTCGAAAAGAAAAATATACTTCGGTGCGGGCGTAACCAGAAACAAAGCTATAAATATACACAAAGAATGGTTTAACAACAATTATCTATGCGCATACCTTTAAGATTTGCGTCTACAATTTTAAAATTAGAAAATTTATATTAACAAATATTATTTTGAATCACAAAATAATAATTTTGATAAAAACCATTTAATAAACAACTTTATCAACATTTCAATGTGTTTTGCGAGAATAATATCTAATAGACCAATAGCAATAAAACAATACGAGGGCAGTTTACTTTTTATTTTCAATTTAGCATAGGTCCTAAGCACGCAGAAGTTAATTTCAATGTGATCCCAAACGGATTTATTTTTTATACCCTGAACAGGGTCTATTAAGTTTGTCACGAAACACCCAGAAGGAAGGGTCGGAAACACTATAAAGTATATATTATATATAAATGATCAGTATGTCGTGCTGAATCGATTTAGCCATGTCCGTCTGTCTTGGCGGATCTGCCGATATCGGATCACTATAACATGGAGCTGCCATACAAATTGAACGATCGGAATTAAGTTCTCGTATAGAAAACTTTCACATTTTACAATGTATTTTCACAGAATTTGGCACAGGTTATTTTCTAAAGCRACAATGTAATCTCCGAAGAAATTGTTCAGATCGGTTAACTATAGCATATAGCTGCCATACAAACTGAATGATCGGAATCAAATGCTTGCATGGGAAACTTCCTCATTTGACGATATATCTTCACGAAATTTGCTATGAGTTATTGTTTATAGAAATAATGTAATATCAGAAGAAATTTTTCAGATCGGGTTACTATAGCATATAGCTGCCATACATACCGAACGATCGGAATCAAGGGCTTGTATGGAAAACTTTCGCATTTGACGTGGAATCTTCACGAAGTTTGGCAGGTATTACTGCTTAAGGTAACAATATATTCTCCAAAAAAAATTGTAAATTTTGCAAGTATTACTGCTTAAGGTAACAATATAATCTCCAAAAAAATTGTTCAGAACGAATTACTATAGCATATAGATTTCATACAAACTGAACACATAGTTACTAACAGAAATGCATCTATGAAGGGTATTTAGCTACGGAGCAACCGAAGTCTCCAAAAATATTGTTCAGAACGAATTACTATAGCATATAGCYTCCATACAAACTGAACACATATTTACCAACAGAAATGCATCTGTGAAGGGTATTTAGCTTCGGTGCAACCGAAGTTTACGTTTTTTTCTTGTTTTATTTTATTAATTAGAACTATAGTATATAGCTGCCATACAAACCGAATGATCGGAATCAAGGGCTTGTATGGAAAACTTTCGCATTTACCGTGGTATCATGTCTTATTCAGAACAGAAAACAGCAAGTTGAACGATTGCAAGGAGCGGTCAGGAAGCACAGCACACTTCATATTTTTTTAATACTTGTAGATTATATTTTAAGAATGCAATACAAATAAATCGATATATGTATGTACATAATTAAAACAATAGTCTTAGTTGAAACGCCCAATATTTAGTGCTTACTTATGGTATATGTACCACGTTTCATTACGACATCTCAATTTTTGCGCAACTTACAGCTTGCACAGACAGTCAGACGGACAGATAGACAGGCGGAATTTAGCTCATCTCGTCAACGTCATCATTTATATATGTATATGTACATATGTATGTATGCATATATAACCATACGTATATCTAACTCGATTAGTTTTAGGTTACACAAACAACAGTCAGGGAAACAAAACTGTTCTACTTTGTAGCAATATGTTGCTACTTACATACATATCCCTAGCTCTTCTTTACTTGTTTTTGTTTGTTCCTTTTAGGTAATATGTATGTATTACTATATCTACTTACATATAATACCAAGTAAATTCTCGCACTACGAATAGATAGATTTACACGTAAAATGAGTTTTGTTACACGTTTTTTTTTGCTCGGATTATCTTTTAAATTGGCTCTAATAGTTAGTTTTATATGAAAATATTTTTACACGGKTTTGGTTTGCACGAGTAATTTACTGTCCCAGTTGACCATGCAAAAGGAAAACCAAGTTTTTACCTATTTGGGGTTACAGTGGCTCAAGAARTATCACATTTTATTCTTGGTAATGTCTTAATTAATATGTTATTCTAAATGATTAGTTTGTAGGTAACTCCATCCGTTTATATGTACATACATATATATGTAAGGCACCGATTAATAAACTCGTTATTCGATGCAAATTATTTCGTAATAAGTGCACTATTACTAAACAATTATTATAATCAATATAACTGCTGAGTTGACGCAAGTTATACAAATTATTTTAATTTTGATAATTAATTTTCGTTTCGTTAGCAAACATGCTGCACATACTTTTCTATCCATTTACATATGTACATTCATATTGGAATACCTGTATGCATCCAAGGTATTCTCACAATATTGCTTCAGTATTTTACATTCGATTTTATAGTAGTTTGTTTAGTATTCACTTCACTAAAATTTATCTGTACAAATAYGTATATTTCCAACCACTCAAAACAACTTTTTGCGTCCGAAGTGGTCGAGTGCATTTAATACGCGACTACTATGCAACGGTTCCTGGGTTAAAACACAACTATGGCAAGAAACACAAATATTATATGATTTTCGGCAGAAGATGTCACATCTGTCAGTTGTTTGGAGACGCCAAAATAGAGAAATTATATTTCTAAAATAACATATAAAGCCACACTTTAAATGGCAAGGAAAACTTGGCCGAAAATTGGGAAAAACATTTATTCTTCGCTTTCATCATACTCAGTTAATAACACTTCAAATACATACATATATATGTATGTATATATGTATGAAATGCAATGTGTTTCCACTAAACAAGCACGGTTTATCTAAAAACTAGTCGTGCGTCAAACAGCAAGCAGTTCAGACCTACTCTAYAATTGTTAAATTAATGAGAAGCGAATAAAAGTGGACATTTGTAGAACTTTTGAAAATTTTAATCTGAAAAGGATGACAACCACTTTCAATATCAACGGCTGTAAATACAACGGTAATTGTAAAGTCTATAACTTTGTATTTTTGGAGTTGGTGATTTTTATCTTAACTAATTTTACTCACTTATTTCGTTATTTCAGTAAATCTTATAAATTTTCCACCAGACATCACTCTTAATACTTTTATACGGGAATATGTGCAGTTAACAGCTACCAAATACATGTGCTTGGAAGGAGGATGTGGCGTTTGTCTATGTGTCATTAAAGGTAAACAACCCATCAGCGGAGAAACCCGTACATGGGCTGTTAACTCAGTAAGTCAATTTTTGGGCACAGATTTTTATTCTTATTCTTTATTGGCGTAGACATCGCCTACGCCAATTGGAGATTCCAAGTGTAGTCGGGTCCTTCGCCACTTACTATTTCCAACGGTGTGGAAGTCTTCTACTTCCTCTGCTTCACCCGACGGGTAATGCGTCGGCGAACGATATTCGCCGTTACCAATGCCCAAAGGATCATAGATCTAATTTTATTAACAACAAATAATTTTCATTTATCTCTTAAAGTGTTTAACTTTACTAAATACATGCATGGATTGCGAGATTATAACAGCTGAGGGTATTGGCAACAAAAAAATTGGCTATCATCCAATACAGAAACGACTAGCCAAGATGAATGGCACTCAATGTGGTTTTTGCTCTCCTGGTTTTGTTATGAACATGTACGGTCTTCTTGAATCGAAAGGAGGAAATGTTAAAATGACGGAGGTTGAAAATTCTTTTGGTGGCAACATTTGTCGATGTACTGGATACCGACCTATATTGGACGCTATGAAATCWTTTGCTGTGGATAGTATTATACAGATTCCCAAAGAATGTATAGATATTGAAGATTTCGAGCTTTCCGACTGTTCTAAAGTCGGTTCGCAGCTTAGGGTCACTTGTCAAAAGCCATTAAGGTACTTGACTTACCCCGACGGTACACAATGGTATTGGCCGCGAACATTTTCTGAACTCTTTGAAGCACTGTCCAAAATACAGAATGAAAAATTTATGCTTGTCGCAGGAAATACAGCACATGGCGTCTACAGGAGGTCATTAGATATAAGACATTTTTTTGATATTCATGCGGTGCCGGAGTTAAAGCAGCACTCTATAACTAATGAAAAGGTGACACTTGGTGCAAATATAAGCTTGACGGAAGCAATGGAAATTTTTGAGCAATCTGCACTGAATCCTGGCTTCGAGTACTGTCAGCAATTGAGGGAACATTTTGATCTTATCGCAAAYGTTCCAGTTCGTAACGTAAGTATTGAGAAAGTTTTTTTGAAGAAACTATTTCCTTTGGTTTATCTCTTTGCTTTAGTAGAAATTATATAGTAGTATACATATTAATTGGGTTTTGTTGGTATACGTACATACCTGTACATGTCAAAATAACTT